AATTATTTTTGAAAATACTTATGAAATAATGCATTTTTCTTATCTTTAGAGTGTTCAACATGAAAATTCTTATCGTGACCCTAAAGCTAAGCATTGTTATGGAGAAGCAACGCCAATTGCCCAAGTTGGAGTATCATAGTCTAACTCTCTACAATAAACAAATTCAGTTGCATTCATGCCAGTGTCAAATTTTACTTTTTTGTTGTTGAACTTTTCTAAAATTATTAAAAGTAACTGTAATTTATGAAAAATATTTTCTAATACAAAATATTAAAATGGAATGGTTACAAGCATGTAAGGATCAAGCTATGATTGGATGCCCAAGTTGGAATAAAGTAAGTATCATTTTATTCTTTTTACAGTAAAGAATATTTGAGCCGTTGACTTTGAAAGTGGGGCAAGTCCATTTTATGAAAAAAATAGTTAAAGCTGATTATTATTACAAATTAACATAAAATTTATGTTTTTAATAAATTCACAATAAATATCTTTTAATATCAGTATAAATTCTTTACTAGTAATTTATAATGTCGACAATATTTATTGTGTGTTGATTTTGAAAGTGGGATAAGTCCCCTCTAAAGAAAAACATAAAGATATGATGAATTTATTACCCTATGTACTACCCATTCATCACGAATATTTAAAAATCTGCACCATCTAAACAAAGAAATATAATTATATGCATGCAACTTATTACTGAATATTTTTTCTTATTTTATGCACTTTTTCCTATAAAATAAAATTTATTTTTTGTTTTATTGTAGCTTTTTGAAAGACATATGGAATGTTGAAATAAAATATTCAATTTTTTGTTATTATAAATACATTTCATTCAAAGAAAATGAACATTTTCAACAAATCATTGCTTTTAAAAGTGAGGGAAGTCCATTGGTGCATATCAAAACAATAATTTTTTTCACCTAACACGGATAACCGTTATTGCATATTAAATTTACATGAAATAAGACCAAAAAAGTATAAAATAAGTCTATTACTATTTACGAATATTTTTAAACTTATTCAAATGCAAACCATTAAAAATAAAATGTATCATTATAGTTGAATTCAGTCACTAGCTTTGATTTTTTTTTTACCAATTGTATTAATGTCATGTCTAAGATTATTAAATAATATACTAAAACCTTCTGGTTAGAATTAGGCATTGTTTACATGTAGGTTTATTTCCATCTGTAAAAAAATATAATAATTACATGAAAATTTATTCAAATATATTATCTTTCTATAGCATATTTAAAATTTGCATCATCTCCCTTCTAACATGCAAATTACAGCTTGTTTTGCACATTTTGGCAGGACAATATGTGGTACTTGGTTGGGGCTCTGGAATATATTAGTCTTTGCTACTGTGCATTTTTACACCTGATCAAGATTCATGAAACAAACTGTAACAACTATGCCATGTGGATTTTGAATAGAAATTATTTCATATTTTTATCAGTTTGTCATTGAAATACATTCATAGTGATTAGTTTATTGTTATACTAATCAGATTGCTTATTGCCACAAGATTTTCAAATGGTACTTAACCAGCAGAGGACCTATGAATGAGAGAACTTTTAATTGCTTAATAATAAAATAATTACTATGGTAACATTCCAATGAAAAAATTAATGTAGATCTAAATCATATTTTTTTCAGATAGAATAACTGGTAATATACTTGCAAGAACTAGACTTGAATGCCATTCTAAGTACAGAGTCCATACAGACCCAGAAAGTCAGGAAATAAGATTTTTAGCTGAAAAAGTCATGGAAAGTTAGGAAATCTGCAAATATAGTGGAATCCGTCTGTCACTCTCACTCCCTTTTGATCCAAACACGTCTTTAATTTTTTTTTTTTNTTGTAGAAGAAGATTTGGCAAGGAAAGTTAAACCCCAATTGAATGATATTTCTCGAAGGCAAGTTTTGATAGAATTACTTGGTCCTCAGTTTACAAAAAAGTATATTCCTAATCAACCAGGGGATCCATTTCCAGTAAGTTGATTTTTCTCAGCGAAAATATAATTTTTATTTTATTGATATGTGCAAATATTACTGCTATTAATAAAAGCATACAAATTCTTAATGACTATAGCATACTAAGTTGTATTAAAAACATTTTAGTGTATAAATTAGTGTATTTTAAGAAAAAGAATGGCAACTGTGTTAAGTTATAATAATTTACAAAGCATAAATATAATAGCATTATGTTAAATTTTATCAATACTGTTGTTAAATCAGTAGAAGTATTTATAAAATTATAGTATATGCAGTAGAGCATTGATTATCCGACCCTCGATTAATCGTCACATCAGTTAACTGACCGTTCTAGTCGGCAAATTTCAAATGTCCGCTAGTGATGTGGCACTACAATATTTGGCTACGTCTTGGCTACTTTAATATTATTTTTGTTAAATTTTTGCGTGTTTTAGCTGGCATCAATGGCTCAACCATTGAAGGGAGGCCAATATTTAAATGACACCTAATTTTCTAATTATGAGTGGTTGGTTGTTTCGTGAGCAATAAAATAATTTTAAAATAATTTTTAACGATACAATAGTGACGATTATTATTTAAAAAAAAAATTTGTTAGGCTAAACATCGATGAAAATTCAATGCGAAGTTAGTTAATAGCGATATACTAATAAACTAATTACATGGGCTATACTAATATCCTAATATACTATATTAATAATGGATTTTTTTCCTTCTTTTCGGTTATCCGATTTTTCAGTTATCCGACCAACCTGAGTCCCCAATTGAGTCGGATAATCGATGCTCTACTGCAGTGTTTTTCAACCTGTGGGTCGCGACCCCCTTCGGGGTCGCGAAGCCTTACACGGGGGGTCGTGGGTAAAAGAAAAAGACAAGTGTTTGTAGGTTCTACACTACAATAAAAAAAAGCTACAATTTCAGTGAGAAGGCTGTGCCTGTTTATTTTTTAATAATTTGTCAAAACGTGGTTTTATTTTTGAGACGCAAACAACTAAATCATTTTCTAATTGAAGCCTATTTCTCTTTTTAGTTTTTATGTCCATCATTGAAGAGAACGTTAATTCACATAGGTAAGAAGTGGCGAATGGCACTAATAATTTTAAAGTTTCTCTTGCAGTTCTGGATACATTTGTTTTCTTTTCATCCAGAAGACGTCAATATTTTGCGAATGAAATTCCATTTTAAGCATGCAGTCAGCTGCTAAATCTATAAGATTTTCTTTCATCTTTGTGGTTAGATCAGCCAGTTGTACTGACATATCTATGAAAGGATTTAATATCCATCTATGCCCATAGTCAGCTTCAGAGTCCAGTTTTGGAAAGTAAGTTAATAGTTTCTCTTCCAAATTATGCAAGCTCTGTATCATGCAAGGGATGTGAGAACTTACTACCAACAATTGATCCATTGCCGTTTCTTCGACAATCTTCTGAACACAAGGGAAAGACTCATATATATTTTTTTGCAAAGACGTTGACCACAAACGAAGTTTTGCGAAGAATCCTTTGATTTTATCTTTAGCTGTCAGAATGTTTTCTTCTCTCCCTTGGAGTTTCTTGTTTAAAATATTCAGGTGGCTAAAAAGATCAGCAAGAAATGCTAATTTTAGGAGCCAAACAGGGTCACATAAATAATTCGCATATTCAGATTTAGCACCTTGTAAAAACATTAACAATTCAGCTTTCAGTTCTAAAACTCTTGTCAATACCTTTCCTTTGGATAGCCACCTGACCTCTGTATGATAAAGGAGATTTTGATGGAGCGAACCCATGTCTTCACAAATGATTCTGAACAGTCGGGTTTGCAAGGCTTTACCTTTAATAGAATTCACAATTTTGATCACCTCTTTAAGCACTTCATTTAAATCAGAAGGTAAAACCTTGGCTACCAGAGCATGTCGATGAAGAAAGCAGTGTGTCCATGAGACATTAGGCATTATTGATTTTAATTTTGCAACGAGTCCGCTTTTTTGTCCAGTCATAGCTTTAGCGCCATCGCTACAAATGGCAATACATTTTGTCCAATCAATCTTGTAGTTGCGAGTGCTTTCTAAAAATATGTCGTACAAACACTGACCTGTGGTGTTTGAAGAAAGTGCTTTGCAAAATAAAATGTCTTCTGTGATACTTTCATCTGCTTCAAAGCGCACAAATACTACAAACTGTGCACAATCTGAAACATCAGTAGATTCGTCAAACTGCAAAGCAAAATGTGGGCTCTTCTTTAATTTCTCGACTACTTGTTCTCGAATGTCACTGGCCATATCGTTTATTCTGCGTTCAATAGTATTGTCAGAAAGTGGTATGCTTTTTAGCTTGCTTGCCTCCTGCCTACCTAACATAATTTCAACCATATCTAGGGCTGCTGGCAAAATAAGATTTTCGGCATCTGTATGCGGCTTCCCTGCTTTAGCGACTCGGTATGCAACTCTGTAACTAGCTAATAATGCGTTTTCGTTGACACTGGATACCTAAAAACAGACAAAAAATCAGAAAAACAAATAAATAATTAAGCAATAATAAATATTATTTTTAATCACCAAATAACAATACTATTTTATTACCTGAATCATAGTATTTTGCTGCAGGTTAAGGGTTTTCAGCTTACATTCAAAGAAATCCAGCGGTTTATCAGCTTCTTTGGGATGTTTGGTTGAAAGGTGACGCATAAGTTTTGATGGTTTCATACTCTCACGTGATAATACATCGCCGCAAATTACACATTGAGGTTTATTATTCATGACAGTAAATCCGTATTTCAAGTAATTGTCGTAGTAATGTCTGTTTTTTTTCGGTTTTGATTCACTTCCGTCACTGCCACTTGTACCAGACGTGGAGGGCTGCGATCTTTTGAGAAATTTATCCATTTTATGGTCTTGCGGAGCAAAGCGCAAAGACAATACAATCACGTCTGTACTTGTTGGCGCATTCGCTTCCAGCGCCCCCGTGGAAAAGTTACTATTTGCAGGGCTCTTGCGACTTATTTGCAGAGTACAATTGGTTTTTCGATTGATATTTAGGTCTCAACGGAAAGAAAATTAAATACGTAATTTTTAAAATCATTGACATACTTTTAATATGGACCTGGGGGGTCGGCAAAAATTTTTAACTTGTAAAGGGGTCGCGTATTCAAAAAGGTTGAAAAACACTGCTCTACTGTAATAAGAATTTCAATGAATGTGAACTTATATACTGATGAATTGTAAGCTGCTTCAAACTAAATTTAATGAAATAAATTTTTAAAATATTAAAACCACTTAAAAGTTATTTTGAACAATATTTAAAGTTTTTTGATAAATTTGAATGCTTTAACACATTACAATATATGAAAGATATACAAAGTAAATATAGTTATAAAAATGTGTAATAAATAACATTAAAATCAATTAAAATAAGAAATTTACTTTAAAATACATGAGGATCTCATGTGAAAAGTTGAAACAACAATAAATTTAAGTTCAAAAATAAAAAAATTTTGCTTTACTGTACATTGATTAAATTAAAAAATTTTTTATGGATGATATTTTGTAAATAATTATTTCATTAAACTTAAAAATATTTAAAATTGGATGTAATTAAAAATTTTTTAAGTTTAATGAAATAATAATTTTAGAATAGGGAACATACTTTTGTATGTATTTTATTTTTTCTATGTCTTATGTTCTATGGAGAAAAAATGGGGATGTTTTATAGAAAAATTGCATAGCTTTATAGGCTTCATTTCAGCCATTTTTATTTGGAACTTTATTAGGATACAATGTCACTTACTTTAATTTCAATAAGTATAAATGAAATAATAATGAACAAAATTCAAGTTAAATAAAGTATTTGACATTTAAGAACCAAAATATCAAAGATGAATGCATATAATATAAAGTGAATTTTCTCAAACATTTAAAATACACAATTTAGAATAATGAGAGAGAGAGATTAATATGCAATGTTTAAATTCCTTCTTGACCGAAAATTCCTCTGTGTCTTAGTTATGTTCTTTAGCTATTAATGATGTCATATTGTTTGAGAAATATTGACTTTTTGAAATTTGTTGTAATGAACATGTTGAAAAATAGTTAAATTGTTTAATTTTCTTAGTGTGTCAGCTTTTGAAAGGATTCAAGCATATACTGATTAGAACACGAAACTATTATTATTATTAAATCACAGTTTATTCAAATCAATTCTTTATTACCAATTAGTGAAACTCCTATTGTCAGGGATACAAAAAAAGATATAAAAAATATTAAGAAATTAAAAACTAAAACAAAGTTTTGAACAACATGAACATCAAATCATTAGAAGCATTAACAGAAGTACAATTCAGTTCATTAAAAGAAATTAAAAAATGTATGTATTTCTTAACTGACACTAACAATAACTTAGTATGGTATGGTAATACAGATACAGGTAAAAACTTATTTTTTATGATACATACAATTAATCCTTTTTTTCTCACATTCAAAAATGTGTGACAATTTTCTTTACTGCCACAGTTTATTAAAAAAAAAGGCAATTTTGATTTCTATATCTTAATTAGACGTTACATTAACTTAACTGTAACAAGATTGATAAATACATGTAACTTAATTTATTACACTTATAATAAGCACTTCACCAACCTTGGCCATTGTACAAGATCAAGAGTGAAACTTGCAACTGTTTTTAACAGTTTATATTCTTGGAATAATAATTTATGTTCCATCCTTTTGTAACTGTTCCCAAATAAAAAATCATATGATTCTGACATGTCTGTAACCAATTTTATAGACAAACCTACTTCATTAAAATTTATGTTTCTTGTTATAAGCATTTGGTTTTTAATAAACATTTCATTGAGAATTTTTCTTTCCACTATATCTTGATTAAAAAATAATTTTCTTGTAAATTTTAATACTATTTTAAGGAGTTTGAAAGAAATATGAGCTCTGTGACAGCCTATACTTAACATGTTTTTCAATTTTAAAAATATATTTTATAAAATTGATTTTGTATCACTTCTGATTAAAATAACTTAAAATCCACTCTGGAAAAGCATAGTTAACAGTACTCATTACAATTGAATTAAATAACTTAAATATCTGAATAACATACATCTATTCTAGCCAACCATGTATCTAGTGAGATTTCTACTTATAAACTAAAACTTTTAGATATAAAACTTCTCAACTGTTTTATATCTAACAGTTTTAGTTTATAAGTAGAAATAAAAGTTAAAATAAGTAGAAAATAAAGCTAAATTAAAGATCATCATTAGATGATGATTGCTGCCATCTCCAAATTGATGGTAAATGCTATGTTCTTTGAGCATGAAGGAAGAAAGAAAATGAATTAAAGATGGCCAAGATCACCATCTAATGGTGATCATCTTTATCTTTAATTCGGTATTTACCATTAATTTAAGTGGCAAAATCTTGTTCATATTATGCAATATTTAAAATACTTGTGGCTTGTTTAGAAAACAACTCTTATGTAATTGAGAATCTGCTTTATTATCAACTATGCATTTAGATGCAAATTTATTTTCAATTCTTGTGAAGTTGCTATAGTATGCACTGACATGCATATAGTGTTTTTATTTATTATTACCTATTTTATTATAGAATAGATAAAAATTCATATTGATTTTTGTTTTATAATTAAAAACAGAATTGTATAAAAATATGTAAAGGTTTCTTTTATTTTTTTGCAATCAATATTTTGCAAGATAATTATTCAAAATGCCATTGATGGATTCCTTAAATAATAATTATTATTATTTAATAATGAATACTAAAACATGAGTAGTCTAATTTAAAATATTATTTAATTTTTAATTAAAAGGATTAAAAGAGCGACAGAAAAGATAAATTAATATTAAATTACTTTATTTAGGAGTCTACCATCAAATCATCAAAGAAGAAAGAAAAATTAGTACAGGAAATGAAATCCTGGTTAAAGAAAGAAATGGATAAAATACTGCGTGATAAAGGTTTAAAGGATAGCAATGGACAGCCTCAAGGAGAGTTAACATCATTTATGAATCAGTCTGGAGATATTGTTTCCAAAAATGTTAAAAAGCAGCTTCGACAAGGACGAGTACGTTGATTAAAAATTTCTAGATCTATTTTGTAAATTTTTTATACACACAATTTTGATAGTTTGTTGTTATTTAAAATGTAAATCTCAGATTTTGGAATTTGTTTTCAAAAATAAATTAATAATAAATTTTTATGGATTAGTCACAAGTTTTGTTTTTAGTTTGAAGTAATTAAATTTGTTTTTTCGAGATAGTACATTTTTAATAATAAAATTATGATATATGTGTTATCTAATGTTTATTATACATGTCATGTTGTTAAGATAAAATTCAGATGAATAAAAGGTGATGTCATTATTATATGCTATTCTCAATAATACAATATTTCCATATATTTTGATATTATATTTATTCAAGAAATAGTTAAAAATTATCCAAATAAGCATTTAGACTTCAAAATTAAGATTCTTAGAAACTTTTTAATGTTACAAAAGATTAGAATAATTAATTTCAAGAATTCAGTTAAAATTATATTAGTTATTGATATTGATTAATTAAATATTATCGTTTCTATGATGTTTTGCTTTAATACTGTAGTTTGAATTTTTATCATTTTGTTGATCTCTATAAGCCATTGGACCTTTCTATATTCAAAATTTTACAATTTATATTGTTTGTAAAATGAATAGTGATAGACATCCACATAAATGAAGTTTAAATTGATAAACATTGATTCTTCCATGTTATGAGATAATTTTCCAAATTCTTTCAAATATTTCAAGTTTTTGATTTTTTAATATCTTTTAAACAATAAATTTACAAAAGATGATGATGATTAACAAATATAATATAATATAATAATTTAATAAGGAAGATATCAAGTATATATGTATCCTTATATAATTACAAAGAGATACCTATAAAAACTCATGTTATTCAAACCACAAACATATCACTAACAACAGTAATATTAACTTTTCATAGGAATGGTTTATCTTCCTTTAACATGAAAGTATAAAAATATCAATTGGCAGTTTGAAATTACACAATAATTGATTAACTTAAATAAAATATATTGCAGTACATTGTACAGTACATGCAGTACATACAGTACATGCAGTACATTGTACATTATTTGAAAAACGCTTGTCAATCCTATAAATCCATAAAAATAACATTTTGATACATCTCTTCTATAAGAGCATTAAAAACACTGGTTACCTTGATTGTTTTGTACTGGGTAGCCATTATTAATGGTGGCTACTAACGATGGATTATTAATCTCTTGAAGGAAGTCTTTACAGTTATATAAGCTAAGCAATGCTTGTGTGATCTTTCATTATATTTCTGTGGATGAGCAACATATAAAAATGACCTTTCTACGATTTCATATATAGTCAAAACCCTCTATAGAGATATTTAGCAGAACAAGAAAAAATATTGTAGTAGAGAAGCTTATTGCTATAATGAGAGTTTTTAAAAAAGTATCTCTTTTCTCATTTTACCTTGTCTGACTACAAATACAGTAATTCTATAAAATTAGACAATGTCAGAACAGAAAAACTTATAGTATTATTAGACATTTATTAAAAAATTTAAGTGTTAAAACATCAAAAACATGCTAAATCTGGAAAATTGCTTTTATCTGTACTGATGCCTACTGACTATAGTTAATGTTCATTTTGGAATTACTATTAAGAGAGTACTACATTTTAATTTCAAAAACAAGCAATAAATTAACTTTTAATTTACTGAATTATTATTTTTGTAGAGAAATGAAAATGCTATGCATTTTACAAATATGGTCAAAGAAGAAATGTATTGCTAAACAGATTTATTGCAATAGAAGATATTCAATTGGGTGAAGTTTTACATTAAACTAATACAAATTGCATAAATATTAAATACTTGTCAATTATAAAAATTGAAATTTAATATAATGAGAATGATTGCAACATAATATTAAACAAGGCAGTTGTTTATAAATATGATTAGGACATAAGAAGAATTAATTGAAGGAAAAATCTTACAGAATATCAAAATCAGTGAAACGAAAGGTTTGGTCGACAGGATAAGGCAAAACATCTTGAGTGGTGTCTCTCTGAAAGTCTTTCTTTGGGTAACCAGCCATTATTTAGGCACACGAAGAAAATCTGAAAAACTCCAAACAGCCAGCTCATTGGTCAGATGAAATCTCAGGACTGACTATCAATTGTTTGGTGACTTTTATCCACTCGGCCACCAGTGAGAAAAACAAGTGAATTTACAGTACAAGTTACGAAACAAATGAAGATTTTAAATAAGGCTATTATAGGAAGTCAGTAGGAAAAGTAGCTCATAATGTAGCTACTTTTAAAGTCATTTAGAGTACTGCACTTTTATATTGTGATAATTACAATACTAATTATGGCTAAAATTGATTGTATTAGAAATAAAAATAACTTAAATGAAAAGAAAAAATTATATATTACGATAATGCAAATATTTAATGTTTTAAAATATCTTAAATATCAAAACATTTTCAAATTATAAATTTACTGAATAAATTATTAAAATCAAGTATATATGTATCCTTATATAATTACAAAGAGANTAATATATAAATAATTGTGTTGATGTTTGCATATTTTATACTGTAAATATTATACTTAAATTTAATTTAGAAAATATTATTAAAAGGAAAATATCTTTGTGACAAAACTGCATGGATAAATGAATGAGTTATTTATATTTTATTCAATTCATTATATAATGGATTCGTAACTTTATATCAAATTATTACAGATAAACATTTAATTTAATATTTTTAGAATGGCAATAAAGGGTCAAGTTACAAAAGAAGCAGAGGATTCCAAAATTCCTCCGAGATAATCGGAATGGCAATGACTTCTTTTATTGAAGATAGTCCCGAATTAGTTTCTGATTTAACAAAATCTTTGAAAAAGTATACTATTATTTTCCCTCATTCTTTAAGACCACATTTGTGGAGAGATTATCTTATCACTAAAGAAACCCAGAAGAAAAAAGGGTAAGATTAAAAACCAAAAAGTGTTGTTATTCATTGAAGTAATTATAGTAAATAATTTATATACATATGATCAAAGAGTAACTTTACAAGCCAATAACATAGACAAATACATTTATTGTGTAAGTGAAGTTATACAGGATTTATATGCAGGAAATACTTTTTTTTAGCAAAAATCACTCAGCACTTATTGCAACACATAATGTGCTTCATCCCATCCTCAAAAATTCCTGTCCTGGTTGTAGCAGCCACCTGGTAATGACAATTTTCACATTTTGTCAGTAACAAAATGGTGATTGCATGTCTGTTTCTTTGAAGAAGTAGGAAAAATATGAGTCATAAGAGACCAGATCGCCAGGATTTACTATTACTAGATTCTTTATAAGTGAAAGTGATCATTATCTAATTAATTCTAAATTTAGAAAATTTACAAAAATTCTCAAATAGACAAGACTTTAAAATAAGTGTCTTCTTCATTTCTTTCAGGAAATAGTAGTTTCATGATGGAGTGGATGCTTCTTTAGAGACTTCTCATCTGCCTCAATATGTAAAATATCAGGAATACTGCACACCATCAGATAATAATGTGAGATTTTATTTCCTGATAGTGTGTGAAAGGGATGAAGTGCAAAGACTTTTTTAAAGTATTGTTTATTTGAAAAATTTTGTAAATGTTTTATGTTTATACTTATTGTCCTGACCATTTTATTAAATCTATATCTAGTTAACTATTTTCTTGTGGAGAAGTTTGTTATCTTAGACTATTTTTTAATAAAAATTTGTCTAAATTTTTTAAATTGCAACAGCTTGTACCTATTTTAATACAAAATTATTACAAATCACTAATTTTCATTTAATCAAAATACCAGTATTTCTGAAATTTTCAATAAACTTTGAGAGCATATCCCCTCATATGTAAAGGATGAAAATCTTATAAGAATAGAAATCTGGAAATATTTTGTTGTGGAATATCATTTGTCTGCTTTTGGCTACTGTCTTAAACAGATTTGGCTACTTCTGTCACTTTCCATCTGGCCACTGACACTACTTTTAAGAATATGTTTGTATTTTGTGTTATGTGAGACAGAACAACTAGGTTCATGTATATGTTCTAGTTAATTCTCAGATATTTACTCAGTCAAACACAGAAATCGTCATAGTTGATATAGTGCACGGAAACTATCGATTATCGACAATATCAAAATGAAAAATTATTGATGGCAAGTATCGCGTATATCGAGACAAAAATATTGATAGTCTGTAGTATTGTACACTCTCATCCATCACCAGTGTCACGAAAAGAACTCTCTCAAACAGTAAGTTTTACATCTTGGTGTGAAGAATATTCTCCAAAATCTTTGCCAAATATTTCAGCAATGCCCTAGAAAAGTTTTTATTAGTGAAATGTAATGATTCTTTGATTGTTAATGTGCTCATTCATTGAGCTTAGGATTATTATAAAATTTAAATTGTTTTATATATTTGTATCATATTCTGATGTCTCTCAACATTACGTTAATTCAAAACATTTGAAGAAAAACTACATATTGATACATTTTATAATGTTTTCTTCTAGAAAAGGACATTACCAGCAAATTATAGACAGTTTTCAAAAATCACTGTCCATTTCAATGAAAGAGTTAAAACTAACACGTGTCACTCGTAGCTCGATATGGAAACAAATCGATAAGGAAGTACTTGAGGTAAAGAAAAGTTAAATATATAAAGTTTTATAAATGTAACTAAATTTTAAAAATATATATAATGTTCTTAAATAAGAAAGAAACTAATCTGTTTGATATGGTAATATCCTAGGAGATAAATTTGGAAGTTCTTTAATTACTTCATGTGAAAATTTCAAACTTGACACAATGTCAATAAATAAATAAATCGTGTGGCAGCTTGGTTTGGCCTAGAGCCAACACTTTTATTAAAAACATATTTTTGGTGAAATTTCTGACCATCCTCGGCCTAGAGCAACTCATTTAACAGATGAGAATTGCTGTTCTACAGCATTCTAACTTCTTATGAGTTGGTGGCAGCTCAGCAAGTCAATGCTGCATCAAATACGCCCTTACATGTATAAACAAAACATAATGTTTAAGTTCTATAGATTTTTACATAAATAATAATAAAAATAGACAAAAAAAAAACCTAGCATTTTTTTTTAAATGACAAGCTGGTTAAAAATCAATTTTGTAGAACATCACTCTAATTTATTAACTAAACAGTTCTTTGTTTTATTTATTTACTTCATAATTTGAAAATAAATTCAGTGAGAACTCATGAACAAACTCTTTAATTTTGATTAAAAAAGATAGGACTTTTTAAAAATAATTTTAATATGATTAATAAATAATATATATAATTATCATAAACTTTATAATGTACATTTTTTTCCTTTCAGATTTACCACAAAACAAATAATTCAACTGATGAAGATATTACAGAAACTGCCCAACTTCTCAATATCATTCATATTTACAATAAAAGTTATCACTTGTATTATATTTATTGGGCAATTATGATTCAACAAATTTTTCTTCATAATAATGAATTTGATAAAGGTTTGTATCAAATTCTAAACAAATTACGAAGTTGCAGAAGTAAACATTTATATATTTACTACTTTCCTTAGTTTTTTATTTGTATACATTTGTATATCTAATACTGTAATTATATTTAATTTATTTATATCTATATATTTAAAAGCAAACAAAGTCACTTATTTCATACCAGTGGTGGTTCATGACTGTCTATTGTGGCCCTCTGAGTAACAAATACAAGTTTACATAACATATTACATCATATTACAGTAAATTAAATATATGTACAGTTATCTAAATATATAAAATTACTTGTCCTGACTGACCGAGTCACTGATTCATCATCGCCCAGAGCAAACCGCCGAACCTAAAGAGGTGAAATTTGGTACACAGTTAGAGTACGTCTTGAAAACGCACACTAGGAAGGGATTTTTCGAAATTCCCATGCGGGGGGAGAGGGAGAGCATTAAGGTTTAACCAGAAGAATGGCTTCTACTGTACTATTTTAGATGCGATTTTTTGTTTTCAATTACGTTTAGTCTTCATTAACTACTTAGGTGTATTAAATTGATAACATTTCAGACATTGTTATAAATATTTTTATATATTTTGATTTTTAACCTTATGTTCGAACCGTTTTAAATTTGAATTTGTTGTTGCATATTGATTCGATTACAGAATTATTGTGAACATTCCAGAAAATTGATCAAATCGAAAACATCAGTTTGATTCTCGGCAATTCTCATTATTCTCAGCGGTAGGTGTTATATAACAATTACTATGGTTGTTGAAATACTGAATATAAATGGGGTTTGCCTGCAAAACCTCTGCGGGTGAAGTTGCGGGTAACAGCTATTATATTGATATATATAAAATATTTTTTTAAAGTCAAATGATTTCCAGATTTTACTGGAATATATTACTGCTACTATTAGTAATTAATTTAATTATAGTAACCAAATTTATCAAGAGATGACACCTAATGCCTACCTCTAGGCCAAATTACATTTAATTATTAATAGTAGCATTATTATAGCCCAATATAATCTGGCAGTCATTTAGCCTTATGTGAGAATCTAGAGTTAGAAGGAAAGTCATTTTTGGACAAATTAACAGAGGAGAGGAAAAGATTTAGATTTTAATAGAAAATAAATTTTTGTAAATTTTAAACTTCAACAAAATTTTGAAAAACGGATGTCAAAAGAAACTTTCGATTTTAGAAAGGAAGTTGATTTCCTTTCCTACGGCCGACTCACAAGACGAGTCGAAATGAGTAGAAAATGCGGCCTTTGCACATGCTACTTTGCCGTCAGAGAAGGCCGATATAAAAGCGACATTTTCCCGCCATTCGGGGCAGTCCGTTGAAAGAGGTATTGCCACACAAGTGCAGTTCGTCGAAAGAGGTATTGCCATATGAATCCTGGAAAGTCATTGAAAGAATTAGCCATACAATATAGACGAAGTCCGCCGTTTGAAGTGTTCTCCATACGATATAGAGAGTCCATCAAATGAAAGTCATATTACAGAGTTCTCCATATGATGTATAGAGTCCGTTACACAAGGAGACCGTTATAAGAAGAGTTATTCATACAAAGAATTTGCCATAGAAAATAGAAGAAGAAGAAGAAGAATGTCCACAAATAAGAAGATTCTCATACATTGAAATATTGAATGAATTCAAAAGGTAAAATATAACCACATTCCACTCTATTGTAAACTCTCTCTCGATAGGTTCAACATAGGATATTTAGGTTTAGGTTTAACTTAGTTCGTAGTGACTTAGGTATAAGTACAATTTGTTATTCATTCATTTGTATACTTTTAATATTTTTGGTTTATTAAATGTTTTAGTTTATTTTATAAATATGATCTGGTTAATGTTACATATTCACACTTATTCAAGTTACTTGCATTCTATAATATCAACTGCACATCGGGTTGTATACAATACAATAAATCTGACTTATGGAACCTGTAACCAATGCGTATCACCGATGTGAGCTAGTTATTAGGCAATATGAAAACAGGACATTGCCTAAATTCCTCCACGACATTTTACTATACAAAAGATTTGTCGACGACATCATCATCTTATGGAGGACAACTCCCAACTTAGCCTGTTTTTTAGACGAAATGAATCACAACCCGTATGGACTGACACTAGAGATGGAACAACACAGTAACACCAAAGTACGTTTCCTGGATTTGGACATAAGATTTGATGATTCCATCATCCGCACATCGGTTTTTCGCAAACCTACTAGTGTATCGGCATACACACCAGTAAGCTCATGTGATCCCTTCCAGTACAAAATGGCGGCTTTCAGGGCATTGGTCAAACAAGCTTACACACACACTGCAACACAAAAAGCACTAACGGAGGAGTTAAAATACTTGGAAAGTATAGCCAGATCACACGGGTACCAAAATATTATACAAAAGATCGCAGAGCGCCACAAACAAACACAGGCTTCTTCCAACATTGTAATGAACACGCAAAACACAAGCAATAATATAGAAAATATGAGGATACCCATTAAGTTCAACCCTCTATTGAAGTCCCTGTACAACACCATTGCTAAACAACGAAATGTTAACATAGCATACAGAAGATGCAGCACCTTGTTTGATATCCTACGTAATGAGAAAGACGGATCCAGGACGGAGAGGTTATCAGGCGTATATAAAATTCCTATAAGGGATAACAGGTTCAACAGAGATCTGGTATACGTGGGATCAACTAAACGCTCGTTAGAGGTTAGATTAAAAGAGCATATTTCGGATATATATCACAACAGGCACACAACCGCACTCTCCACCTATGCCACTGATCCCGATATAGTGGCGGACTTCAATAGAGCATGGATAATTGCCTCCACACCACATATTCACCAACTAAAATGGATAGAAGAGATGGAAATTTTTAGGGCGTATGACAAATCCGAGTGTATTAATTCAAGAGAAGAGATCAGCCTTTCCATGGCATGGCAAAACCTACTCCATAAAGAGTGATAACGAAATTATATTAAGCCTTAGAAATAAATGATATTAGGGAACACGAGAATATTAAATAATCTATATATCTCAATAACACGTTTTGTATCTTTCTCTTAAATTTGAACATCGACCGTCGAATTAGAACAATTTCAATCATATCTCGTTAAGCGAATGGAACGATTCAAACTCTAAGAAGTTTGGATTTATTCAAACTTCTTGAATTCGTTGTTTGCTATTCAATCCAGCTGTTATCCTGATGAAGAACCCAGAAGGGGTTATGAAAACGTTTGGTTGTTGAAAGAAAAAGTGATACGCATCGGTTACAGGTTCCGTAAGTCAGATTTATTGTATTACTTGCATTCTTCATACTCACAAGTTAGTGATAACGTGTGTTAATCCACGTTTAACAAAACTGATTAACTGGTGTCGGGAATCCTGTTAAGGGAAAGGGTGATTACACAATCATCTAATTCTACTTTTGTTTTACTTCAAACTGTAAGTCCCTCCACACTCGATTTCTTTGATAGAAAAGCCCATTCTTTTAGACAACTGAGGGCTATTCAAATGAATAGCTGCCGAATAAGTGGTACAAGAGTCTTAATTACTCTGTATCTCTGTATTCCTGATAAGCCTTTCACACTTAAATAAAAATCAGATTTTTTAGATGATTATATTTGTATATATTTTTTAATTTAATTAAAATAAATTAATTCAAGATTCAAAATTTTTGTGTTTTCATGTTAACATTTATAGGTCACAAAGTACTCTGTACCTCTGCTCTGAGCCAGTATCTGTCCTGTTGTGCTGTATACTGCAACTGCAATGCTAAATCGTGCAGAGTCGTCTCAAGCATCTTTACCATATTACGAAACATGGAGGTAAAATGTGCAGGACAGTTCTCTCGACGGGAAGTGGCACTGCACCATTTAACAGTGCTGTCGCAGGAAGGCTTGTGGCACACATTCTTCCTAGTAAAATCATTTTTATTTTGTATACTGTTTTGATCAACATTGATTTTGATTTTTTGAAAAATAATTTTAATTGTATATAATAATTTATGATTACTGTGTAATAAAACTCGAGCTATTATTTTGTGATTTTATTGTTTTTTCTCTGGGGTGCTGCCATTCTGGAATGCTTATTGTGAGCTAGGTTTTCACACTTCCCCACAATCAAATTTAACAAGTGATGTTCAAATTAAACTTTATGATCTCTAGATTTGCAGAAAACTCTAAAGATTCAAGTACATTTTGAGTCAACTTATTGATGATTTTAGCAATTTTTTTATCAATCTTGTGATCAGTACTACTGTCACGTAGTCTGTTATAATGTTTTGCATTGTACAATAATTTGTATCTTAAATTAATCATGTTAACTTGTCTATTTTTATTAAAAATATAAGACATCAAATACATTTATAGAGACATTTTGTCACATGATTATTTTTGCTATTGTGTGCGACATTATTCGTAAGCAAAATGTTAAAAGTCAAATTTATTACATGTTTTACTTCATACATCAAAATTATTTTATGTTCATAAAACTTTGAGTAACTATTGAATAAAACATTGTAAATGTCTATTAGTGCACTTAGTTTGCATTGATGCAGCAAAATGGCAGTTCACATGGTTTAGTGTTTTGTTAAATACCTATTTTGTAAGTTATTACTTTTTGCTCTTAACAAGCAATTATTGTGTCTGATAATCATCCAAAAACTATTAGAAATATTGTTTTTAAAGAAGTTTTGTGGTTTAGACAAAATTTTTCTTCAGTAAACTATTGTAGAGTTATCAGTGAGGCATTCAGAATAATCTTGTGGGAGCCAAGTTGAACAGATTAAAATTTTTTATGTGAATTCAATATAAATTCCATCTTATACGATCACTAATTCATAAGTAGTATAGAAATAGAAGCAACGATACAATATAAATAAAAAATTGAGTTTTAACTAGGAAAAGATTTTTGGAAAATTTTCTAGTATTTTTTCCTTGGGAGTGCCAGGTCTTTTGGCTCTTTCTGGATGTGCCACTAATACTTATTACTTATTTTATTTAACACATCTCATTAAACCTTACCAGTATCCAATGACAAATTTCACAGGTAAACAAATGTTTCTGGACTCCTGATCTCTGCTTTGGGTTTCCCATGTTGTACGAATGGAGCATGCATTCAACCAAAGGCTTCAGCGTATGTTCCGTTTTTATTCGTAGAGTGAAAATTTTGTAGAAACAAATTTTTTGGGCTCTTTCTGAAGCAGAGTTTAGGAGGAACCTGAAAATGTTTATTTACCTATGAAATTTGTCACTGGACATCAGTGAGATTTGAATATTTCAACTATTCAAATGAAAATCAAAACTTGTTATATTTAACAAATGATTTATTTTAAGGATCTTTCAACAAAATTATTTATTGTGCCAAAATAGATAACCACAGCAAAAATTAACACACAAGTTAAAATTCAGTTCTACAGATAGACAATTAGGAGGATTTAATACAACCATCACAGAAACTGGATAAATTATGAATAGCACCAAATTATGCCCAAATTCAGTAAAAATGTAGTATTTACCCTAAAGTAAATGTTTTTTGGGTTTGAACACTTCACCATCTGCTGATGATGATATGAAATGTTTTCGTTTAATAAAATGAAAAAATTAACATCGGTTTTTCGCAAACCTACTAGTGTATCGGCATACANTTACTGGCTTATTGAACAAACGAATACGAATGAACCCTGATGTGCAATTAACTGATTGCCCCTGGAAGTCAGCTTCTTACAGAAACACAGCTTCCCTATCGTCAATTGTCATGGCATGCCACTGGTTATGAACCAATGTTGAATCATATTAAAATTTTAATGGATTGCAAAATGTTACCTTTAACAGAACATTTTTGAATTGTTTTAATTCAAAAAAGCTTTCATTAAGCATGCTCTGATTTTCCAGAGCTAATAAGAGAACAAAAAGACAGAAGACATAAAAAGAACTGAAGTAAGCAGTGAATGCTCTTCCTAAATCTTTGGCTGACAGTTTGGTCGTTGACATAGAAGCAGTAGCAACATTTGACAATATTTTGGAAGTCTATGTGGATGACTGCTTAACTGATCTAACAGTTTGTTTCACTCTACTCTATTAGATGTCGGATCCATCGACCTACTTTCTTGTGATCTGATTCACTCTAGCCTTGATGCCAATGTATATACACGCCTTGCTCTGCTATAACAGCATGTAGACTTTGATGTACAACAATGTTACTTTAGTTATAGTGTATTTTTATTCTTTTATTATTTAATTTTTATTCTTATTTTCATTTATTTTATTTTACTTTCCCTTTTCTCTGCTATTATATTATTGTATCCCTTCTATGACTAACAGCATGTATCTACTATGTATTTTTCTGTATTTCTGCCTGGCTGTGCTCACCGGTGCCAGACAATAAAGATTATTTTGACTGACTGACTGACTGTCCGTCTGTCTTAATCTCGAGAACAGAGAGTTTGAAATCCGAGACCAGATGTGAAAACCTTAGGGACAGGAGGCCCCAATTAACTATATAGGAACTTCCGATGCAAATTGGAAGTCACATTTTTTCAATTAAAAATGCCTCAAAAGCAGTTAATTGATGATTGGCACGACTCTACTGTTAAAGAAAAAGTATAATGTACAGGGGCAAGTCACTACTAATTTGAGAAGGAGAGCATATATTTTAAATTAAATGATTTAAAAATATGATTAAAAATTGCAGCCCAGCATTATGACTATGTCACAATAAAGAATTGCTCATACTTATAGTTTGTTTGTGAAAACTTTAGTTTCAATTTGTGAAAATATTTACAATGAAAAACCACATTTTGACTTTTGTCATGTTATGAACCACAATATTGAAGTTAAAATCCTTCAAAGAGGAAATGAGGAGTTAATAACTGTGGGAAATGGAAGAAATGTTTTTTATAAATATTTTATTAATTTATTATATATCTTACTTAGATATGTCTATATTCTGTCAAATAAAAAAACTGTAGCATTCTAACTTTATTTAAAGTGAAAATACGACTTATAATATTTAATGCACATTGTTTGGAGGGGTATATCTGTTTTCTATATTTAGGTCAACAGCTGTTTCTGCTAGGGGGAGTGGTCTTAACCGGAAGTACTTCGTTTTTTAGAAAAATTTACAACTGAATGATCCTAAAACACTAATATTCATTAAATAGGATAAATATATGTATGATTTTATTAAATTCAAGCTAAAAATAAAATGACAATATTGATTTATGATTGATTGTTTACGTTTATAGCTGACAATGTAGCTCAGACAAAAATAACTTTTTCAAAGAAAGTTCCCACCCTACAGACCCAAGTCGATGCTTATTCGTTAAACCATAGTCATTTAGCAATAATATACCAATTGGAGTTCAACAGGCTTGTAAACAAAAATTTTATTGTCCAATGAACGAAAGAAGAGTTTCCCATAGACTTAACATGGAAAGGAGGGGTTTTGTAAGAAAATTTAAAAATACGGGGTGATAACAAATATCTTATTCGTTGAAACAGACTTAGTCTATGTATATAAATGCCAATCAGTGCTTAAATCGCCACCAACTAGTTAATTACAAAAAAAAATTGAAACTTACTCCAACTGGAGTACTGCGCAACAGTTTAACTAAAACTGGTTACTCCAATGGTAGTACTGTGCAACTGACTGGTTAAAAAATTGTAGACCTATAAAGTTCTACTGTTGTCCATATATCCTTCCTTAATCTTGAGAATAGAATTAGATAGATGAACATTGAGATAAGATACGGAAAGCTTAGGGATGGGAAGCCCCAATTAACTATATACGAACTTCTGATGCAAATCGAAAGTCATGTTATTCAAAACTTTCCCCTGAAAGGAGTTAATAGATGAAGAGTATATATTTTAAATTAAATAAATTTTAAAAATATGATTAAAAATTGCAGTGCAGCATTGTGACAATGTTACAATGAATAATTGCTGGTTAAAATTAAGAACATTTTCGATTGGTTTGACCGACTTTCTTTGGTTAATGGCAACTTCAAATGAAAGAATACAGTTTAAAAATTAAAACATAATGTTTGAATTAAAATAGAAACAATAAATTTANATCGATATTCGATCCAGCTGTTATCCTGATGAAGAACCCAGAAGGGGTTAGGAAAACGTTTGATTTTTGAAAGAAAAAGTGACACACATCGGTTAAAGGTTCCGTAAGTCAGATTTATTGTATTATATACAACCCGATGTGCAGTGATAGTATATTAGGGCTCCCTACATTTATCGTAATGTATTGTAGGGGTTGGATGCTAGCAACTGGCTTCGAACGACCACTCACCCCTCCCCCAAAGCTTTTTGAATTTATGTTTGCGACTACTGCGCTGTCGTTCTGTCTCCAATCCGTTGTGGATCATTGAATGCGATCATCATTCCTGGACAGACTCCTCATCCTCTGCAGACAGGTCCTAGAAATGTGTTGCGTTGATCTGCAAATAAAGCACTCCTTCTGTCTTATTTCCCCCGGTGATGGTCGGACCCGTTTTTCTGCCTCCCGTCTCTCAGCGGCGGGGAACGTACTTCCAGCCAGTGCCATGGCACTCTGAAAGATGCCATAACCCATGCGACTTGTTGTATGTCTTGGTTAATGATTTTCCCTTACTTTTGAAATATAGGTCGCACTCTCTTATATGGGCAGCTCTGTCGGCATCCAATGTCTGAAATAATCTGTCTGCCATGATTAATTGTTTTACAGTTTCCAAGTCCTTCACTCTCCTCAATTCGCAATTGTATTCCCAAGATGACACTATTCTGAACATAAATTACATATGAGTCTCGTTGGGCCTACGTCTAGCACTTCGAAAATTTTCCAGGCAGCATTGGGCAGATGGTTCGTATTCTCGTAACACTAATTTCTTCAAGCTTGAGTAATCCTTTAACTCGTCTCCAGATATATAAATCAAAATGTTTGCGGCCTTTTCTCCCAGAATATTGATCAGTATCTCCGCTTACATCTCTTCCAGCACATTCTTCTATTGGAACGCTCGCTCTATAGATACGAAAAATAGGTTCCAATTTTCGGACTTAGTTGGGACTGGCAGTGTTAACGTTTTCACGCTCGTAATCAATTGCTCAATACTCCCAGTGAGCCCATCATCCAGATGGTAGTCCTAGCCCTGCTTTGAACAGTAGCGTTAATCTGCGCCAGCTCTAACTCGTGCTGGTGTTCCCTTTCTAGCCTCTCTTGTTCCTCCTTCCGTTTCCTTTCCGCAACAGTAGAGGTCCAAATCTCCAGCACAAAATCTGGGTCACTAGCAAAATCGTCACTTTTTGTAAAAAGTTCCCTTAACTCCAATACCTTCAGATTGTCGTCTATTGTGCCACAAAGCTCTTCCATCACGATCCATAGATCTTTTTTTTAACTCCCTTTACTCTTAGCATTCTGCCGTGAATTTCGTTTCCGACAAGTACAAAATTTCCTTACCTCTTCTCTGGTGTAAACCTTGTATATTCCTCAAACCTTTGTGCCATGCCCAATTACCCACTCAGCTTGGTTTTGATCCACTCTTCTTATTCTGGCTCATAATCACTCTCTTCACAGATTGAATCTTGTCGATCTGACTTCACTATCCTGTCGGGAACACCAATGTAGGGAACCCGTTCTTAATCAGCGGATTCTGCCCCATCAGTTCGTCTCACCAATTAATCAGTCCAATATTTCCACAAAAAAAAATCTTTATTTCACACTCCCTTTCCCTCTCGTGTCCCAAATCTCACCCTCCTTCTCCCTTTTCTTGTGTTTTTCTCCCCCGGGTTTTATGGCCTTCTGTCATTGCGTGTGGCTGGAATCATCCATTCCGACGAAACTGCAGGAGCGGAAGGGCGAGGAGGTCCAATATCACTACAATAGCCTTAATAATAATAGGCTTTTCCAAACCAATTTTAACTTAAGAATTTAATATTAGTGCACACTTCGAATCTAACCAAATCCATATTCATAGATGCAAGGGTAATTTCAAACTGATATAACACTATGTATAAGTTTTGTGCAGCACTGTTACAAATACCGTATAAGTTTCAAGTAGTTCATGCTCACATCAACTAATTATAAATATAGCATTCTGTTTATGAATAATAGCCACTTTCCAGGAACATTTTGAATGCCCCTCATATATCTGTAGATATGATATTCCTACTGATAAGATATTTTTATTATTTATCATTGTAGGTGCAATTCAAGGTAGCATAATTTCTAGTCCTGATGTGTTTACTCCACCTGCTCAACAGTTTTGGATGACAATGGAAATGGCTTGTCATTTTATGAAGTATGCATATGGTAGTTATGGTTGGCCATTATATGTATATGTCAATTGTTGTACAGGTTTATTTCATCTATGGAAACAAATCAGGTAATTATTGATATGTGTTGTGATATAAATATAACTATCTCAATATTAAAAAATTAATTATAAAAGTAACATATAAATGTTATAAGTACTGTAATTTCCTGCTGACAATCTACAAATTTTGTGTTAAAAATTCTTTTGACTTTTATAAGCAATGGCCTATAACCATCTATCAGTCTGTGATAATTTTTCCACATAAAAAAAATGGCTCTACAATCAGTTTACTTTTGGCTACATCAAGAAGTCTTTTTGACATGATAGAATGTGATGAGTGTTTTAAGGAGGATGCAAAAGATTAAGGTATCAAAGAATTGTTCACTTTTACTAGTGAATGGAATATAATATTTACATGTCTCTCAGTCTTTCAATAAATATTTTCGAGCCAATGTTTATTTAAATTTTAAGCCTAGAAATGATTAATAGTATCTGATCCTTACATCTTTATTAAGAAGAATGAAACTCCTTAACATGACAAGACTCATCATCCTAACTGTTAATATGGAGAAAGTTTATTCTAATGACGAATGCAGAAAGTTCTTATAAAAGTATGATTTACTTACATATTATTAATATAAAGATTTATGAAAACATAAGAAAGTCAACCACATTCAAAAGAATCATAAAGCATACTGAAGGAGTATTGAAATATTTGTGTGAAATAATTCTATTTTTATTGCTAATTTTCATTTACTTAGTTTATTATTAATTCACTTTAAATAAATTTGAGATTAAAATGAAGTTAAAGCTTCACAGAAAGTTAATTTTATTTTCAATTTTGGAGTACTAATGGCATGAATCTGAGTTTGAGTTAAGCATGAATAAACATAAGAATAATTGCAATTTAGATGTATTTATTGCTTATTACAGTATTACAATTAATTGTTGTACCTTTCAACAGCAAGTGCGTTGTTTAGACTGAAAAAATTTTAAGTCTCATAAGTTGCAGACTGATTAAATTTTGTAATGAAGCACTATTCACAAACATCTCTTATTAACTGGATATATTTTATAATTCTGTATTTTCATTTTAAAATAAATTGCTTAACTTCTTTCCTAAGTTTAAGAATACTTTGTTTTAATTATTAAATATCTTTATAAATTGCATTGTTTCATGCTGATGAGCCAAGAAAGTAAATACATGACAATGCACTTTAATCTAAAAGACCAAAGGGTATTTGGGTTAAAAGTTTCAACTAATACAATAATAGCAATGCAAAACTAAACTTTTCATCAATGAAGAAATTGCACTTGCAGACTATACACAGTTAATTATGGTAGTATTTTTTCTTATATAATACATACATTTATTAATTAGTTTAGCATTATGGGAAAAAAGTTTTTTTTTTTACTATTCAGATCAGACTTCAAACTTTCCTCAAGAAGTCTAAACTTGTTTAATTGAGATATTTTGACACATTGTTCTATTTTATAAAGCATTATTGGAATTGAGGAAAGTAAGAAGCTGAATCTAAAGTTAGAATATTAACAGTAAGGATACATAAGGTCTGTTAAGAAATTATATGACTATGAAGATATTTTGAAACTTTCATACATAAATATATTTTAATAAAAGTGTATTATTTATGTTCTTATTTAATGAAGAATAAAATAATAAAATTTACAGTAAAACTCCATTTTCCAAGTATATGTGGACCTAAATGCTACTGTGGATAAATAGAGGTTTCGGCCAATGTTTTCAACGCGAAAACATGTACGTTGGATGTTTAGTGCCGCCTTCCTGTAAGCCCAGACGTTTGACAATGGCATTTGGAACATCGGTGGAATCACGCTCGACATTCCAAACGCCATTGTCAAAGTTCTAGGCTTATAGGAAGGCGGCACTGAACGTCTGATGTACATGTTTTTGCATTGAAAACGTTGGCCGCAACCTCTCTAATGAAAACAGATAAAACCAGGGATTCTGAATAAGGGTCAATGGAATTTTGAAAGTGGTCAATGGAACTCAACTGGGGTTCAGTGAAAAAAATTAGATACTTATTGTACTTTTACTAAGAATTTCAGATAATTTTCAAATAAGAATCATAACAATTATGTGGGAAATTCATTAACTGATTTAATAATTTACTTGATATATTATGTAAAATCTTGAAAATAAGAAAAATTTTAAAGGGTTGACTGAAAAGAATATTTTTTTATGTGACTAACTACTCATCAAGAATGATTTGAAAAGTTCATTTTTTAGTATATAAACAATGCAGAAACCAGATGATAAAAAATATTGAAGAAAAAAAAAAGCCAAAAACTCTAGCAAAAATGAAAAATATATAATGATAAACAAATGTTTTGATAACATCTGCTATTATCATCAGGTTAAATATGTTCAAAAAAGAATGCAGCCAAATCAATTGTCATAATTTAAATAAAGAATTGTCATCTGATTGGTTGTTGATGTTGCATGCAGTATTTATTTTTGGACTTAAAATAGAGATCTCCATTCTAGAGAAAGGGTGTTGCTATCTTTGAAATTTAAGACTTTTTTTTTGTACATGCCTTGTGTGTCTAGCTTTTCCATGTGTACAAGAGATTATTGCATTTTAGTTGCATGTAGTGGTCAGGCTTCCATCTGTATGTGATTGGATTTGGTGTTCTGTGGCTGACTAATGCAGTCATGTAATGCTCCTTTTTAATCCAAGCACACACAGACTGACTGACTACTACTTGCAACTAGAACTCAATTCTGTCTCAATACACCTGGAAAAGCTAGAGATATAAGGCATGTAAGAAAAATAAGGCCATAAATTTCAAAAATAGCAACACCTTCCTTCTAGAATGGAATTCTCTTTTTGAAGTCAAGAAATAAATACTACATGTAACATCAACATCAAATGACATAACATCAACAATCAATCAGAAGACAACTCTTCTTTTAAATTATGACATTCGATTCACCTGTGTTCATTTTTATTGGGAAGACTATGAATTTAAAACAACAATAATAATAATAATAATAAAATTATTGTGAAAAAATAATAAATGGTGTAATTAATAAACACAGTGTCTTTCAGTATTAATTTAATTCAGACAAGAATAGACATGCAAGTACTTTCAATGATTCACATATATTGTCTTCAGGCAGAATAAATTTTATGGCATTAAAACTGATAATGTACAAATTTGGCATCAAGTGCCAAATTTGTACATTATCAGTTTTATTAATGGTGTATATTTGGTGTTTGAAGAACTACCTGGAATCCAGGCACTTCACTGTATCAATATGGCCTTTGGCAAGAATGACTACTTTATCTATTTTAGAATAATTAATTATTGTTAATGCCTTTACTGGCTTTACTAAGAAAGTTGTTTATTCTACAATATTTAACAACAAAGGTTTGACAAGTTGATTGCTTAGGTCTTATTCACTGCCTATATATGCTGAAACTGATACTAAAATTGCTAGTCAGCTTCTAAATAGTTTTCTGAGAGTTGTTATATAGAAAGAATGGAATTAGTGGAAAGGAGATAGAAAAAAGTTATTAGCTTTCAGGTAGTTTAAGTAGGAATGTATAATAATAATGATTTAAATATGGTTTGAGATATAGAAAACAGAAGACAGCTAAAGGTGAGGCATGCATATACATGTGTGGTGATTTCCAGAAAAGTTGCAATGAAGATGTATGACAAGCAAAAGATATTTATTGATTTTTAAATACTTACTAAATTTAAAGAAGGATGGATGAAGTTGTAATTTCAATTTAAAATTGACAGATGATGTGGTAGTGCATAAATTTTACCTTCTATATTTTGAGTACACTTTAAAACTTAAATAATTTGTAGGTTATTTGCAGTAAATTACAGAACTTTTCTTCATATTCTTATTTGTATTGATTTTAGGCTTTGGATCTCTGAATGATTGATTATAAATCCAAGTTATGATTCAGAAATTGGATTAAAAGTAATGTTATGGTTTATTTATTTGATTTTTTTTTATTTACTTTCTTTCTTTCCAAATAACATTTATATGATTGATTTTTTTTAAGTTATTAATTTCATTTATAAATTTTATTAAATGATTCATATGTTTAAAGATTATTTTATAATGATTAAAGTAGAACATTTGTTCAGTTTTCATATTATTGATTTTATTTTATTCCTTCTTTTCATTTCTATGACTTAATTTTATTAATACTTACTGCCATATATCCTCGGGCTATAATTTGACAATAATAATTACAACTTACTAATAAATTTGGCCGTAGAGGGAGGCGTTAGGTGCCATCTCACTACTTACTGTCATTCTAAAATTTACATGATAATTCCTATGATATCTTTGTCATAAAAATTAGTAGCAAAATCATTTAAGACCAATGCTGTAAACAAACAAACTGTCATTGGTTATTTTTTATAGAATGCACTTTACTCTTATCCCAACTTCAGCATTAAAATGAAGTCTAGCTAGTCTTTGTGATTTTTATTAATGTTTGGAAAAATTTAACATATTTATAAAGAATTCAAAGAACTGTTTTGGCTTTGTTTTGATTCTGACCAAGTATCAAATAAAAAAAGAATACTTCATTTTATGTAGTGGATAAAAGAAAATCAAACTACTATCAAAAAACGAAGGTGTCTAAATGTTAGAAACATTTTTATTTCATGACATCAGCCATCTTAAAATGCTGAATTTGTTTCACAATTGTAATCAAAATAAAAATTCTGTTCATTTATAAATTTAGTTAATGTAATTTCTTCAATTAATTTTTATACACAAAACAGGATTTGTCATCTCATAAAACTAATTGATTTTATATTGCTATCAATATTGAATCGGTACTGATTTTAAAATGTACAACATATGTCATTTGAATAGTTACTCTAAATTATTGATATCCTTCTTTTAAAATGCAATGATGATGATGATGATGATGATAAAGATAAATTTTTTCATCATAACTTTTAATTTAGATAATTAATAATTAACTAATTACTTTAATATTTATAAATTTTCATTTCTGAAAAAATATTTTTAATATTTTTAGGTGTATGTCATGTTGCCGAAAGAAACCAACTTATATTATAGATGATAATTGTTGTGAATGCAATACAGCAGCTTTAAAAAGAGTAACAGGTTTAACTGAAGAAAATTTGGTATATGTGTCATTTCAGAATAAAGTATACGAAGTTCCATTTTATGTAGCCATTGACCATCAGACCTGTTCCATAGTTGTTTCAATTCGTGGCACGCTTTCTCTCTCTGACGTACTGACTGATCTGACTGCAGAGTGTGAAGTCTTATCTGATAATGATAGATCTAATGGGATATTCTGTCACAGGGGAATGTTGTTAGCAGCAAATTATGTAAAAGACAAACTTGAAGAAACTAATTTGTTAAATGAAGTGCTTTCTGTTAATCAGAGTTATTCACTCGTTATTACTGGCCATAGTTTAGGTGCTGGAACAGCTTCAGTTTTAGCATTGTTACTTCGATCTAAATATCCAACGTTAAAGTGTTTTGCATATTCTCCTCCTGGTGGCTTATTAAATGCTGATGGAGTAAAGCATTCTGAAGATTTTATTTTTTCAGTAGTTGTTGGTGATGACTTGGTGTCAAGATTGAGTGTACCAACAATGGAAGACATGAAAAGAAATATTTTGAGTTGTTTAACTGAATGCGATCAACCAAAGGTGAGTAAAATGTCAGTTTCATTAATAAACAAAAATCCTTGCATATTATTTCTTCAGTGGTGTTTTAGAATTTGTTTAAATTCACATAAACTTTTAAAATTTTATTTTATTTATTTATATAATTAATTTTTTCTTGGAATGAAAAAGAGACAATACTATTTTTTAATCCTTTAGTTCATCATTTCAGTTCTATAGTTTACTAATTGAAACAATGATGGAAATTGAGTTAAGAAACCTTCACATAATTCATTAATTTCATAATTATTGTAATCTAGTTTGAAGGATTTGTTTGTTAGAATTGGAACAGTTAGAGTTCAATTCAACTTATTCTTCAGAATTTAGAATCTCTTAAATAGAATAAACAAGAAGAAATTGTCTTTAACACAAAGGAAACTAATTCATTTAGAATTAAATTTATTAAATAGTGTAATGAATGAAAAAATTATTGATATAAACTATTGTTTAATGCCAAATGATCTGCTGAAAATTATCAGGCTGGAATGGGACTCAATCCCACTCTGGGCTGATTCTTTTCTTCCAGAAATTTCTAAATTAAAAATTAATTTATTATAATTACTAAAATTAATATGAGATGGTGGCATATCTGCATACTTCTAGTCAAATTAACTGATAAGTAATTATTAATGTAGCCTAAAAATAGCCTAATAATTCAGCAGACCATTTGGCTTTAATCAATTAATTCAGGTTTTGAGTTGATGATGTTATATAAAATATTGCTGCTGAGCAAACTTTTATTGGTTTGGATCTTCATCCACTGAGAGATCATGTCCATCTTTTAAAAACTGTATTTGGTTTTTGTTCTAGAATGGTTCAGAAATGATTACTTTGACTCGGTATTGTTGTTTTTTAATTCAGTTATTAAATATCTTAGTTTATTTTTGTTTACTTTAAGTTAATAAACTTTTTAAATATTAAAACTTTAAAGGTTAAAAATGAAATAAATAACTATTGTTTTTTCCATAACTGCATTTAATCAGAGACAAAGGCAATACTAAGATTCTCTGATTAATCTCTGACTAAATACGGTTATGGAAAAAACAATGGTTATTTATTTCATTTTTAACCTTTAAAGTTTTATTTAAAAAAATTTTTTTTTTAAAGAGAGAAAAACTGCACCATAAATATATTTTTATTTATACAAGACATTAATAAACTTCATTTTACTCTTGGAAAAAGCCTCTCTTCATCTGTCCTGTGACATTTTTCTTTAAGGTGTTAAGTATGACGAGTAGCAGAGAAAAACAATCATAATAAACTTAATAAAAAATGTTTTCATTTATAAGGTCAAAAGTACTTGATAAACACCTAAAGAAGATATACTTATTCATTAATATTATCGCTCTCTTTCCCCAGAAAATCAAAAACAATCCTCTTCATTTTGAACACTAATTTTTTCCTTGTTCTTCTTTCAATCTTCCAGAAATTTTTATGTTCTATTAACAAAATGGACTGGAATTGTTTCAAGATCTTCCATATGCTCAACCTTCTTTTCAATGTTTAAAATGCATTTTTAATTATCTAATTTCCTTTTTCTGATGCCAAAGAAAGAAGGTAACGCTTATATCAGGTCAAATTCTTTTTCTCGATCAATTAACTCAGATACAACTTTTATTGTTTTATGTATGAGATCTTGAAAGTCACTAAAAGATCATATATAGGATATTGGAATCACTGAATCATAGGGAATATAAATAGGTTTAAATATGCATTTCCTATACACTGATGCACTATGTAGTTTTTTTCTGAATTAAAAGGTCCAAAAATGTACTGAAATTTTTAAGCCTTGTTGTTGTTGTTACAGGGTCAAACCTAAGCTTGTATCACAGAAGGCCTCCACAAAATGAGAGTATATCACCATTTTTTCATATTACAATATCATCCACATAGTATTACTGTATATTAATTCTTTTTGCATCATCCTTTATATCCACTATATCCACAGTAAAAAAGGAAGATGTGGTTATACAATATTCTCCTAATTCTTTCATAATAAATGTAAATCCATTTTGTATAATACATAATGTAATTACACCACTGTTAAACCTTTACATCCGGTAATATGTAATACATAAAACGAACAAACGTTTTCGATCTTATTCGAGATCTGCCTTAGTTCTTGGATCAATTCAGTTCCAATTATGGACGCCTAAGGTTCAAACGTTTTGAAATTCAAACTATTTAACAAGTTTGAAATTAAGAACATGGATTTGATAACATTATAAATTAATATGTACAAAAAATAGACCGACACTCCTGATATTTTCATATTAATGTGGAACCACCTCAACGGGAATAACAAGCGTTGATTAATGGCTATGGTTGGTATTGCTCCTTACATGTATATCGCCAAGCATATGATATAGAGTTACTGTCCTTGAAATTAATACACTTTCCCGTCCAGTTAGCTTTGTATATCTCCAGGGTCTCTAGGGCCCTAATGTGGTCAGTCTGGAATGATTTTTTTATAAGCCTGGTGTTTTGTAGGTCAACTTGCACCTCAGTAGGTGGACAAGGCGGTGGTGTGCCTTTTCTTATTGATATCATACTTGTGTTCCATGATTCTTTTGTGTACCGATCATTTGGTCGACCCTATTTAGACCAAATCCCTCTGGAACCCGTGGTCCCTGATCGGGACTGTGGAGTGTTGAGTTTTGCGCCCGATAAAACAGTCAACACTAAGAACACAAAGAAAAACATTTAAATCTTTGGTCAACGAACATACGCCAATAATAATGCTCCATTACCAGGTAAAGTTGACTCGTCCAGCTGTATAGAGAAATGGGTCGTTTGCAGATAATTACACAAGAAGCTTTCAATATCATAACTCATTTTATCAATATGTCTTTGAACTGTGTTGTTGCTCAAAGGAATGTTTTTGATTATATCGTATGGCTGGCAAAATTAATTGTTCCCTGATAGTATGCGGTTTTCCAGATTTTGCTATAAGTAGCAAGATATTGTAAGACGCCCGCAAACCATCATCGTTTGTTTGTGACGTCGAAGCGAACATACTATCCATCGTGGGTCTCTTGTGAAGTTTTTTTAAGTATTTGAAAGTATTGCAAATCTTTGCCTGTTTTATCAGGGTGACACCTTCTCAGATGATCCTCTAGCTTGGATGGTTTCATAGCGTCATTGTTCAAAACTTTGTTGCTTAAAAGGCACATAGGCACTCGTTTGTCCGACAATGATGGAATGAAGCCAAATTTCAAATAACACTTTACTGTCTACATTTCTTTTTAGATTCCGCCATGTTTAGTATCAGTTATCTGTGGACAAAAATGAAGCTATTTTAATATGATAAGACATAGCATTTAAAATTGATTTCCGGTGTGAAACCTTATTTTAATTTAATCTTTAAATTTCTTTTGTATGTATATAGAGAGGAATCGTGTACAGTACCATAGAATCTTGTTTTTAAAGATAGAGAAATATATAATACCGATTGCTAAAACTTTGGAAAAAAAACCTATTAAGGAATACTCGTGTAATTGTGGTTGACTTGAATATTGAACTACTATTACCTCAAGTTATGATCGGCGTATCTATGCAATCGGATGAACTATAAAAAAAAAAAAAATATATATATATATATATATATATATATATATAGAG